TTATCTTTTAATTTGGCTGTTTATGCACTGTCATGCACAGTCCAAATTCAAAACCGGTTTGTGCGATATCACATTCTCCAAACTATTCATATATTAAAGAGGAAATGACAATTTGTATATAACAGAATATACCACAACTTGGTTAAAGACTTGTTTGACAATAGTTACAACATTTGTGGTATTCCTATCAAATAGTATCTAGCAGACGCTACATTCTTTGGTTGTCTTTTTTTAAGCTTATATTTGAATTAATATAATTTGTTTTGTATAGTAACTGAAGCAAAAATACATTTGAATTTCCCGCTTATCATTTCAGTGACGTCAGTAAGTTCAAATCCCAGAACAGCCGAATTTTCCAGAAGAAATAATAAAGTCCCTTGTGTCATTGCAAACCAGACGCACATAAAATGGTTTTAACACAAACTTAACTTTATTATCTATTTCATATGAGTGTTTTTATGTTGAAAAAATGTTAATATTTGCATAACTTCTGCTTGTTTAATATTAAAGCTGTTTTTTGCCATTGATAGATTACATGTATTTGGAAGTGATTCGGCGCTGAACGGACTTGATTGTTTCCTCGGAAACGCTTATTTTTCCATCGAGTGGAATATGACGTTAATTGTCAGAAGCATATATACTCGGAATTTTTTAATTAAAGTGGTCATTTTAGTAGGTGCTAACGATTCCAAGGACAATTTCGGTTGAAACAGATTCCATGTCTAATCGGTAAGATTATCATCGCTAGCAGACGACGTTCACAGGGGCTCGGTTTCGTGATTTTGAGTAATGGATGACATCACTGAAGAACCACAACACTTAAATAGGTATTTATACAAATTCTTAAACCTTGTCGATACCTGCTGAATTTTAGTGTTGTGGTTATTCACTGATGTTATGCATAACTCAAAATCTCGAAACCGAGCCCCTGTGTACTGATGTTGACAAACGTGGTAATATCGTATCTAGAATGGAGCTTACAGTAATTTTGTGGTACCTACACATCTTATAATAAATTTATATTGTTATAATTTGTCGTGTTGCTTTAATTTTTGCGATGACCTATATTGCTAAATGCTAACGAACCCAGAAAATTCTCTGACTATATGCCTATTGATACCGAAAGTATCCGGTGGCCATGTATGTTCCTACACTGACCGAATCACTGTCAATTGCAGTATACAGTCTCATATACTGGAATTGGTTTACTAACGACATATAGGCAAATGAAACACAGAATGTAAATATGAAATAGTATCGTCTTATTTTCGAAACAATGTACTTCATTTTCTCACTCTCATTAATTGGATTGAAAGTAGCATCAAGCGGAATGATATCTGTGCCTTTGCTCTGCGCTCTTTCCGAGTATATTACCTCGTGCAAAAGTATTTACAGTATATTCTAATCTTAGTCTGTCTATTTTTTTTATCTGGTAATACATTATATAAAAAAAGGTATCAACTAATTACGTACAGGTAGTTAAATGTAGTCACTGGGTCTTTGGCCATTCTATGATGCACAACTCTGTGGAAATTACAGGAAGTTTGTCCTCAGAAAATGTTGCGGGAAGCATTTCAAACTGGTAACGTTTTCCAGGACTACTAAACGGAGTCGGCTGTTAAGGGACTGTCAAAAATTCCCTTATCACCTTTTTTATCCGGTGACAACATTTCAATACCACTCTTTAAAATCATACAGCGTACTTGTATTCACTACCCCGGAAGTTTTAGGTTGAATGCCCTCGATTGTCAACATTCATGTGTGTAGATCGTTCTGTGTATACAAACACGTTTTGAGCACATGATCGTCTACCCTGACTACATGTCGCTACAACTCATCTTTGACTTCCATCTGTAGCCCTACAATAATGGCAATTAAAACCAATTATTTGTTAGTGATCGTTTATCGTACACACCAGTATCCCGTCGTCTGCTCTAAATTATAAGGAAGAGTGTTACTCCTCTGTGACGCTCTACACAAAGATGAAAATAAACATTACATGTCTCTGATTGGTTTTACCTGGTAAACATGTCTACCGAAACATTGGGTTGTAGATTAACACTTCCTACTCGCTTTCGCTTTTTAATTCCATGACAACGAGTTTTGATATCCAGAGCGACCGTGTCCGGTAACTTAACACTCACTTTAGAAATGTCAACTCACGCTATGTGTTTATTTAGAAATCCTCCCGAGAAAATCGTGTATAACTTCTGATAAATATCAATCTCCTTTAGAAAGGGTGGAGCAACCGTTGACATGGTATAATCCTGGAAACAACAATTATCCGAATGTTATACAAATCATTGTTTTAGACGATTTCATGGCTGCATTTGTTTTTGTATAACGTAACGGCGACCCTTTATAGCGAAGTATTGATATTTATCACTCAGTACCTATACCTCAGTACATGAAAATTTTCCAGAGCTTTTTCATCGAAAGGTCCAGATGCAGTTTATTTCGGATCATCGGTATTTCTAGACAGTTCCTCATGTTTCGAAGAAATCGAGTATCCCCCGGAAAAAACGACGTTTTTCATTGACACTTTCTAAAATGTGATGCGTGGACCTTATAGTACTTGCGCGATATGTCTCACTGCACACTAAATATCGTTAAGGTGCCAAAACTGCACAAGTGACAGGCTGTCCCCTGGCCAAGACATACCAGAGTCTGTAAAAATGGTAGTTTCAACAGTGGGACGACTAGTTCGCCCGTTGTCAGTATAATGTGACCGGGTGGCGTGTCCTGCTGGGTGTCTTCGATAGTAGGTTTCAGTGTGGTAGCACTATAAAGTCGGCATCAGTTCCGCGCTATCACAAGGAGACAAACACAAACACATATCGCAGCCTCCCAAAACACACACGCATACACTACACGCATGCATCTTGCACACATGAGAGGCCGTCCTTAAATGCCCACAGCTGTTGATAGAACATTAAACAATACTAAACCAAACCAATCGTAAAAGGTTGTATCGTGTATTTATGCATGAATACAAAGGAAATTTTCTCTTCAACAATACTTAAAGAAACCACAATCTTACAAAGACTTCTTTCGCTCTCTGACCCTTTATACTGTGGGAGGAAAGCTCAAAAGCGATATTTCACTTAACACCATAACCATGAATGTGGACAACTAACCTCCGACACGAACATTTGAAAGGGACACAAACTTGACGTTTTGGCCTTGATGCAATTTACCATACCGTCGACACTTCGAAAGAACGCTAAATAGCTTGAACATTTCTTCAAAGACCGCGGAGAACGTGTATTTAAAAAAAAAAATAGAAAAAAAAGAAGTTGGCAACCATGTTATAAACCTCAAGTTATAAAACAAAACAAGAAACAAATCAAGACATTTGTGAAGTGGATAACGTTTTGCAAACTTTATTAACGTCAATACAAAAATTTGAATTGAGCTCATTACAATAAGTTATATAAATTTCACGATGAACAACGTTAAGTTCACAAACTGAGAAAACCATTAAACAAAACATATTTATTTACACAGTATGTACACAATTATAAAAACAGCCTTTGAAATGAAATATAAATACAGAAAAAAGTTGTTTTTTATCATATTTTTTTGTTAAAATGTTCAGTTTCTTTTATGGCAGCTATTTTTAGAGGATTTGGATTTATACTGCTTTACGCAACTTGTCCTTTGGAAATAACAACAGCTATCAACAATAGTTTGGTGGAAGCATCCCTAGGCGGTGGGGGTTTAAACTTGTACAAATATTGGGGCTGACCCCAGGGGAATGAGGAGCGGGGCCAAAAAGGGTTATTTAGCTGTATTGCTTTAAGCGACTTCTTCCTTGGAACTAAGCGATCGATATCAACTATATATTGTTGGAAGCATCCCTAGGTGGTGAGAATTAACAATCGTACAAATGGACAAGCTGACCCTTGGAGACTTAGTCCCGGGGTCGTAACTTTGAAACGGTTGAGATCCCTACCCCAAAACTAAATATACAATTGCTGCGCATAAAGAGAGGAACACACTCATGATATAATCATTGACTCTTGGGTCTGGCCACACCCCTAGGGACCTAGTTTCTTAGTCACAACTTGGAAACAGTTGAGATTCCCACCCTATAACCATTAATACAATTGCTGAGTATAAAGAGACAAATGCACATATGCTTCCAGGATTGCCCTGGGGTCTGTCCCACCCTTGCAGGCTCAACCCCTGGGTCATAACAATTGCTAGGTATAAAGAGACAAATACAGTCATGGTAATAGAATTGACCACAGGGTCTGCCCGATCCTTGCAGACTTAGCCCCTGTTTTTTACAGTTGAGATCCCCACCCTAAAACTATATATATATAGAATTACCTGGCATAAAGAGACAAATGGAGTCATGATATTAGAATTGACCCCGGGGTCTGGCCATAACTCTAGGGACCTAATTTCTGAATCACAACTTGGAAACAGTTGAAATCTCTACCCCATAGCCATATATACAATTGCTGGGCAGGGCATGAAAAATCAAATACATTTATGCTATAAGGATTGGACTTGGGGTCTAGCCCTATCCCTGGGATATTATTTGGAGAATATTTTGCCATGATTGCTGAGATATCCAGATGAGCTATACAGACCCTCTGGACCTCTTGTTATTGAGACATTGGCCTTGGTGATTTATAATAGGCTAACATCGCGAAGTGATATTTTTCTAAATAAATTTCAATATATCGAAGTTACATACCTCAATTGCAACGTTTTCTTGTTTTCTTTTAAATGTGACTTATCAAGTGGCGATATTTAGGTTGATCGTAACATCTTTTAGAGGATTTGTTGACAATTAAAACAATTGTTTGGTATACCATTACAGGTTTGACTGTATGCTTTATATTCTATGGCACGCCTGCTTTGTGTTATACAATCAAAGAGATCAGAGTGATGCTTGTACAACTTGAGTATGCTGGGCTTCCAAAATGAGATGTTAATTAAAACATTTGATAAATAAGTAGTCATTTATATACAACTAACACACAAGAAACAGTTAACCTGTTTATTACTCTTGTTAGCAACACATTTACATACAGTATTACGTTTGGCGCATCAGGGGCTACTACAACAATTTTACTACCATATATTTATGCTATTATTTTTTAATAATCTAGACTCCGGGGGTATTGAGAGAAGCACCTACACAGCCCAGAGAAGTGAGCAGCTAGACTCTGAAAATGTCTCCAGAGAAGCGACCAGACTCTGGTTGTTAACACCCCTAGAGAAGCCATGATGATAGCAGCTAGACTCCAGTGATACAAGAGAAGCCGCATCCCCACACTAGTATAAAACGTTGTTGAGATTGGGGGTGAATTCCCCTAGAATTTAAGCCCCTAGAATTTAAAGCTAGATTAGAACTGAAACGAGAACTATAATAACCTACCTGAAGTGAGTAGCCCAAACAACCTAAAATAGAGCAATAATGCCTGCCAAAGGCAAGTATAAATGGTACATGTAAAAAATACATTGCGCAAAGATTCAATCATGAGAAAAGGAACAGCTGCTAAATACCGGGAAACAGCAAAAGATAAGTACTACATTACAATTGGCAGAACTTATATGCATATATGAAACTTGGCATGCAGCTGGGGATGGTGTGTGGGTACACATAAACAACCGTGGTTCACTGCAGCCTCCCTGGATGAAGGGTGCTGCTACCAATTTAAGAGACCCCTATATGGGACCATATACTGCTCTGCGATTGGTCAATTTCTCATCTACTTATTACCATACCTTCATTAACATATAAAACAAAACAACCCATGCCATGATCATGACTGAATAGGGAAACGTCATGAGTTGGATATAAACTATACAAAACAACTTATATTATTATAACGACTAAAACAAAAGAGTAGCTGGCTACATCGTTGTATATAAACTATAATTTAATATATTAAATATCAAATTATCATTGTATATACAACTAACACACAAGAAACAGTTAACCTGTTTATTACTCTTGTTAGCAACATATTTACATACAGTAATACATTTGGCGCATCAGGGGCTACTCACTCCAACAATTTTACTACCATATATTTATGCTACTATTTTTTAATAGGCTAGACTCCCGGGGTATTAGGAGAAGCAGCTAGACTCTGAAAATTTCTGCAGAGAAGCACCTACACAGCCAAGAGAAGTGAGCAGATAGACTCTGAAAATGTCTCCAGAGAAGCGACTAGACGCTGGTTGTGAACACCCCTAGAGAAGCCATGGTGGGATCAGCTAGACTCCTGTGATACAAGAGAAGCCGCATCTCCACACTAAATTAAAACTATGTTGAGATGGGGGTGAATTCCCCTAGAATTTAAAGCCACAATTGAATGAATGTGTTATACGAGTATTACACAGGAGTGAGAGCCCCAATACGCGGTAGGTTTTTAAATATTAAAATAGTGCATAATATAAAAAAATACATTTCAAAGCATTGTGATACCAAGCCCTAGAAATTTACAAATGTAAATATGGACCTATAAAAAAAACATTTCAACATCTTTTTCAATGTAAAAGGAATTCATCAAAAATATATGATACGATTTCTAAAAGATGATGTGTCCTATGTAACTTTTGCTGTTTCAATTGTTAGTGAAATTACGAAGGTTTATTAATTCAAAGAAAAATATAAAAATCATAGTTATCGAAAACTTACTCCTCCTGATCACTGGCGTAGTGCACCTTTGTCCTGATTTGGGTGTCACAAATTGTGGTTACGTGGCACACAATGAAAAAGGCACTAGAAATTCAACATTCTTTATTCAGTGTTACGGAAAATTTTCACCAAATATGTCTATTTTTAGACGTTTGGCGCTCTCTCCCAGACTGTTGGTTTTGTTAGCAATTGCCTCCATTGTTACACCCTGCTCAATCATTTGTTCGTGTGGGACATCGACATTTTCTGAGAATGCCTGACTCGGGAATCCTCTCACCAACATCAAAGTGCAGATTGGCTCTTCGTCATCGTTTCCCATAACGATTCCGGGTGACCCAGAAGCTCCGCGCTGGACCCAACAATCGAACAGAACTTTCCCTTGATCCCGGATGCCCTTATACCCAGATTTTTCTTGGTCATTCGCGATCATATATCCACGTCGATTGCTATTCTTACCAGCATTCAGATCAAAAAGTTCAATATCAGAATCAAATTGCATTATTTCACTTTTCGGTTTTCCAGGGTGGCCAAGCAATGCAAATGATTGACTGTAGTCTGGTTTACCAAACTTTCTTATTGGTTGAGGGATTGCAGATTGACCAGGTTGCAATTCTAAAATCGCAAAATCAAGTTTTTCGTCGTATACTGGCCGCTCAGGTTTAAAGTGAATTTTTTCAACGGTAGTTTTTTTGGGAAAATGGAACTCTATCCAGACATGGTTGGAGCCTAGCTTTGACCAGTCTTCAGTGTCACCTCTGTTTTCTTCTGGAAAGAAATATAATTTCATTGACGTATATCTAACAGGAAAATTATGTACTGAATTCCTGAATATAATATATTTTGTACATGTACCATATTTTACACTGCATTTCCCCAACTCTCTTCTAACTTCCCCTGTAATGTATCCCTATTCACGTCACTTTCCCTAAGTCATAGCTGTTAATGTTGGTTACGACGAAAGGTAACATATTTATATAAGTGTGTTAACACTTGTTTCTGTCTCTAATTTATTTAAGAAAAATCAAACAATTTAAACTTACATGAACACTTTATGTCTTAACACTTACTTTTAAGATTTGGTCCAAATAGCATTCCATAACAGATAGTGCTTGGGTATATTAATTTATTTAAACATGAATATTAATGTAAATTTTATACTTTGCATTCATAATACGTTTTACAAGAAGACGTACAAAAATGTTCAGATGCAAAAATTTAGTATAACTTATCATATTTAAGAGCGCAGTAAAGAACAAAACAAAATTTGTCAGTGGGAGTTAGAAAATGTCATTGATTTGAAAGGCACACTTTAAACCTTCTAAAATGTTTTAATATCTTGTTCCGATTTAATAACTGATAGGTACAGAAGTCCAATATTACTGAAACGTATGGCACGGTAAAGGATACCAATAAGTTAAACTGTCGTATTACTATTATCACTTTTGTAAAGCATTTGTTTACGCTGAAGAAGTATTCCACGAAATTAACACGTTGCAATGCATTTGTACAGAACTATGGTAGTTCGAAGTTTGATTAATTGATAATAGAAATAAAAAGAAAAGTGCAGGATATGTACATTACAAATCCTTCACTTTACAAATGTTGCCATCTAGGAACTATAAACGCAATTCCTCAAAATAAGTGGCCAATATATGGACAATAACTTGACAAGGGAAGTTATTCCAAGTCTGTAAATCTCAAAGTAGAATTATCTTTCATATTAACTTACTTGTTATGTCTTTGGCGACATGATAGGCGGTGAGAATGTACTTGGAACCAACTCTTATCCCTGTTCCGGTTGAACGTGGCCCTGTGATGCGTCCAACAGCGTTTCTTGCACGCGTCCACACGTCAATTATTCTTGCGTCGTGGGTATTGTCCATCTCTTTTCTTAACAGATTAGGATGGTCATCTCCAACTATAGAAAGAACATATCAGAATTTATTTTACTGCTGATCGTTCTGTGAGTGTTGGTATTTAGTTTATATATAAGTAGTGAACAGGTCATTTTCAGTGTTCATACCGTCATGAAAATTGTAAAGTATACTTCAATACATTTTTTTGCATTATACATTTATTGTTATTATTGATGTTTATGTAGATATTTTCTTATATTTTTGATATTGAAGCGCGTCTGTCGTCAAAGGAGAGACTCCTGGAACAGCCTAACGTCACCAAGATGTGAACATCTAACGGTTGTTTCACGTTAAAAGAGGCGGGAGGAGAAATCGCAAAATGACGCCGGTCGAATTGCATTCATAGCCCCATAATATATCAAGATATACATTATGATACATGAATAAGACTAATGTTAACATGTGTTAATGCCCTACATGTTAGTATGTTATGCACGTCTGCCTGGTCACAGCTAGTGTGCATAGTGCAGCTCCGCTCTAATACTATAGCATTATTCATAACAGTTTAATAACTTGATTGTTTACATGTTTCTTTCAAATACTTTGTAAAAATTAAAATCAAATAATACTGTTGGTTCTATACTATTAGCAATATATCGATTTTAATCGATTGAATATTTTTATTTATGTGTAAGAACGAAGAAAATACTAATTAAGTCCCCTCATTGTTTGGTAATTGTAATGATCTGATTAAGTCAAATTTTCGTTAAAATGGAATATAGTGATCCTGCTATAAAAGGTTATCAGGTTAAAGGAGACATAAAATGTAAAAAGATCAAAAGAACTTATTATTTTTATTATTACTTTAATATTACATGGAATACCATTTGCAATTTATATACAATGTTATCACATAACTGATGCAATTTACAATGTCATGCATATGGTAATACACACGTATGATAAAATCTAAAGGTGCTGTGATTGGTAAAAACCGTGGAAACATATTCCTCCTACAGGTACTACTTTTATTTACAATACCACATGATTCATTAACTTTTATTTTAATGAATGTGAAATGTTAATTGTTTCATTATCATTTTTATTTTATTCAAACTAATAACGTTATCTGATAAATATAATCTTACATTCCTGTCCATATATTGAACTTGTTAAACTCGTTCATTAATTTGATATGCCATTGATAATGAAACCTCATGTGATTATATATAACGCGAAATATACCACTACAGTGAAATAAACCTTAATCTTCATGAAACAGTTATAGTTAGGGCCATTAAGTGCCTCCTGAAAAGGAAACTTCTTTAGGAATATAAAAGTACGCACATTATTTGAATCATAGTCCATTTGATAACAACTGTGGCGTTCTGTATTCACACATACATTTTGTCTTTTGTAAAATCAACGAAAAGCCATACTAACCGTTTCTCTTTTTCTCATTTCTAAGCTTGGCGTCAACTCCTGGATCCCTGTCACCACTGGATCCTTGTTTTTCTGCAGATGTAGATCAGATATGCTACCAGTAATTGGTTGATTTATAGCAGTGATGATATAGGTGTAAACATTGGGTAGAGACAGTTTACCAGTAATTCGTTTATATATAGCATTGATGATATAGGTGTTTACATTGGGTAGAGACAGTTTACCAGAAATTGGTTTATATATAGCATTAACGATATAGGTATAATAATTGGAGACAGTTTACCAGTAATTCGTTGATTTATAGCATTGATGATATAGGTGTAAACATTTGGTAGAGACAGTTTACCAGTAATTGGTTTATATATACCATTGATGATATAGGTGTTAACATTGGGTACAGACAGTTTACCAGTAATTTGTTGATATATAGCAGTGATGATATAGGTATAAACATTGGAGACAGTTTACCAGTAACTGGTTGATTTATAGCAGTGAAGATGTAGATGTTTACATTGGAAACAGTTTACCAGTAATTGGTTGATATATAGCATTGATGATATAGGTATAAACATTGGAGACAGTTTACCAGTAACTGGTTGATTTATAGCAGTGATGCAATGATGGTATATGTGTTAACATTGGGTAGAGACAGTTTAACAGTAATTGATTGATATATATTATTGATTATATAGGTGTAATCATTGGAGACAATTTACCAGTAATTGGTAGATTTAAAGCAGTGATGATATAGGTATAAACATTGAAGACAGTTTACCAGTAACTGGTTGATTTATAGCAGTAATGCAATGATGGTATATGTGTTAA